GATGGAGGTTAGGGATGCTTATGGAAAAAAAGAACAAAGGGTTAAGGCCTCTGAGGGGATTAAAAACTCCACAGGAAGACCACAAGTGTCAACTACCCTGGAACCATGGAGCTCTCAGAGTCTGAACCATCAACTCAAAAACATACACAGGCTGGAGCTAGGTCTAACTGCACATATGTAGATGTGCAGCTCGATATTCATGTGGGTCCTAAACAACTAGAGCAGGAGTTCGATGATTGCATATGCTTGGCCCAGGGAGTGGCACTTTTAGGAAGGAGGTGTAGCCTTGGAGTAGGTGCGTGACTGTGGGTGTGGATTTTAACATCCTCATCCTAGCTGCCTGGAACCAGTACTCTGCTAGCAGTCTTCAGATGAAAATGTAACAGTCTCAGTTCCTCCTGTACCATGTCTGCCTGAACGCTGCCATGTTCCTGCCTTGATGGTAATGGATTCAACCTCTGAACCTATAAGTCATCCCCATTTAAATGTTGTCCTTCTAAGAGTTGCCTTGGCCATGATGTCTGTTCACAGAAGTAAAACCCAAACTAAGGCAGTGAACTAGCCCAAAAGCTGTTGCTTTTAAATGGGATACGTTCTTCTAGATAGGCTGCATTGTGTGGCCTCAGGGGTGAAAGAATCACCTAGTCTCACAGAGATTTGATATACAAGGTGCCCAGTGGTGCCCCTCATGCTCAGAGGAGAAGGAAAGAAGTAGAGGGAAGAATTGTGGGAGGGTGTGACCAGAAGCTGGTCATCGATCGGGATATAAAGTGAATAAGCAATAAAAAAAATCAATTGACCTTTTAAAATATTCCTGATCCTATAGCCAAAGACTTCTGTGATGATTTGAATATGCTTGGCCCAGGGAGTGGCACTATCAGGAAATATGACATTTTTGGAGTAGGTGTGACCTTCTTTAAGGTACTGTGTAACTTTGGGGGTGGACTTTGAGACCCTTTCCATAGCTGCCTGGAAGCCAGTCTTCTCATAGTTGCCTTCTGAACAAGATGTAGAACTCTCAGCTCCTCCAGTGTCATACCTGGATGCTTCCATGCTTCTCACCATGATGATAATGAACTCAACTACTGATACTGTATGCCAATCTCATCTAAATATTTTCCTTTATAAGATTTGCCTTGGTCATGGTGTCTCTTCATAGCAATAGAAACCCTGACTAAGACAACCTCCTTCCTAAAAACATCATTTTGGAAGGTATGACTACTGATTGCAGGGTTGCCTGCCAAAGTCTTAAAGATAAACACTATGATAGATGGATTGTGGACACTCAGGATATTGGGACAGTATCCCATAAGGCTGCTTCCATTACCCAGGCCTTCACACCAACAATAAAAAGAGAAGGGACTTGCTTTAAATGTGGTGAAAGGAGAAACTGAAATGGTGATTGAAATAAGGGGGCTCCCTCTACTAGAAATGTCATCACCTTAAGATAATCTGTCCCTGATTCTATAGGAGCTTCCCCTGGAGTAGAGATTGTTGTTCAACATTATGACAAGGATGGCAAACCACTGGAGACTTTAAACTTAAAACAGAGCATCCCTCAGCTCAAATAGAAAATGAGGAATTGCTCTAATAGAGACTCTATGGGCCCCCACCCAAAGAAAACCTTGAAAATAGATATAAACTCATCCACATGCTTCGTTGATTCTGTAGCAGATAAAATAATTTTAAGACAACAAGACTTCCCAAAAGTCTAGGAACTAATTTCCAGGTCTCAACTTCTGGGCATAGTAGGTTGCTCTCATGCCTTTACCACCAAATAAGTCTATAAATTGGAGGACCCTGAGGAGTCTATGATCAACATTGCCACCAATATTCTAAAAAGATATTTTGGAGGTTCTGGAAGTTACTCCCACTAGTCAACCCCTCCCCCCCCCAAAAAGTTAACAGAGTAAATGATTATGCTAAGAGAGTAAATACTTTTATAACTCTCTTCAAGGCTATCCACAATTCTAAGGGCTGATGATAAATATAACACTTATTTCCTTGACTAGCTCTCCAAAGAGCCTATCTGGGTTAAACAATGGTCTCTATCAAGGGAAAAACTTAAACTACTTATACAGTTAATAAAAACCAACTCTACTTTCATCATATTTTCCCTTCCAGCAGTCCATGGTTCACTCAGGGGTCTCCAGTAAGATGAAGCTCCCAAGAGTCTTACACAGTCTCCATCTCTCTGAGCTTTTTTATAAAAGTAAGCACATGGGTATTCCATGGATTGAATCAATGCAAAAAGCAAGAGGAATTTTAATGAGCCAATGGATTGGGGTCCTCCTACACGGAAGGTGGAGTGGAGACCCCTGACAGCCCATTTGGTCAGTTTTTATACAGTTTAAGGATTAGACTAGAGAAACAGTGTATAGGCACAATATGATTAGCAGAACAGTGTGAATTTTAGACTGATTGGTCTTTAGGGAATAAGGTGGCAGAGACTTCCCTTGTCTGAAGGTAGCAAGTGTTGGTACGTCCTGCGGAATGTGTCTACATGCTCTGGGCCTTCCCCACCTGCAGGTGGATTCCCTTTGATATCAGGACTGTTAATCACCCTCTTCCATTCGGCAAGTGTTCTATGACCTTTCCAAAGTTCCTGAGCTGACCAGGAATGTTAATTAGCCTCTCTCTTGGGGTTGGGGGGGGTGGGCAAGTGTTCCAATGTTCCTGAGCTGACTTCTTCAACTGCTAAAAACTTTATGAGCAATTAATAAAGCCAGGTTTTTTTGAGGGTCCCCTCAAAGGGGGCTACCTTTTGTTGCCAAGGACCAGTCAAGGCAGTGTTATACTTATCATCGGCCCTTCGAATTGGGGATAGCCTCTGGGGTGGTTATAAAAGTATAAGTGTTACTACCACTATAACCATTTACCCTGTGACATTTGAGGGGGGCAGTTTCTGAGAGAAAGGTCATTTTTGAGTGATGAAACAAATGACTCAAAGTCAAATTGTGAGTCCAAGCTGATGGCCTGTGTTCTGTTCCAGTCAGCTTTCTAGCGCTCTCTCTCTCTCTCTCTCTCTCTCTCTCTCTCTCTCTCTCTCTCTCTCTCCCTCTCCCTCTCCCTCTCCCCCTCCCTCTACCTCTCTCTCTCTGTCTCTATCTCTCTGTGTGTGCGTGTGTATGTGTGTGTTCTATTCAATGCAGTTTTTATGACTGCTCTCTGTGTTCTGCTCTGAGACAGTTCTCTTGCTATTCTAAAACTATCTGGATAGCTTATCTCTTGCAAATCAAAACCCAGTTTTTATTTACATAACAATTCTGCCATTACCCCAAGTTCCCTTTTGATTATCCCTTGAATCAGTATCCCTTGAATCCAGTCCCTTGATTCTTAGAGACAACAAGCACAAGCACAGAAAATAAGATAGAAATGTGGGAGTCCACCCTGAAATTACCATTCTGACCATGCCTAGACCTAAATTAACTCTGTCCTAGACTGACCTTAAACTGCTTTTGTAAGCATAAACAAAAAAGCTTTTCTGGGTGGAATTTTGCCTTTGTGTGATCATCACTCCTTAAATCTATTTATCTTCTTTCTTAGTATCTGTGTGACTAGATGCCTTATATTGCAGCTGCCTCTGTTCCTTTAGATCTGTGAAGCTCCTTATATAATTCATATTGCATCCTTATATTTTGTATAGTTAAAAAATTATATATTTTTAGCACTTTCCCATAGCCTTAAAGGCTATCCTGATGGTCACAGCAGTTTGCATTTTGCTGAAAAATAGAAGCACCTCACCTTCCAGACTTAAGACTTATGCTGTCTCTGATTATCATGGAGACATTAATCTTAGCAGAGACGACACTCCTTGAAGGAAGAACATGAAAATATGCATACTATTATTCAAACAAGCCTTACTCACATAGTACCTATCAACACTCTTGGAGGCCTAGTCCTGCTGGTTCTGTTGCAGGGGCAGGAAACCATGTCATACTGTCCCTTACATGGCCATGAGAGACCCTAAGGGCTTTTCCAGTTCCACACCATCCTTACAGCTTCCTCCTCCTGCCTGGTGTCAAGGCTAGGCCAAGTTCCATTCTCCGCCCACAAGAACATTCTTGAGTTAAAATTTTCAAAATGTATTGACTGATAGTCACCTACCCTCTGGAAAGTCCCAGGTAGAGTTCAAATGTGTGTCATGCTTGTTAACCAATAAGTTTGAACTGTAACCTTGCTGATGTAACCTGTGCCCTTAAGAAGGATAAAAACTTCTTGTAATAGCCATTTGGGGTCACCTTCTGGTCACTCCCCTTGAGGAACTAATTGAAGGTCAACCCAACATGCTGGGAAATAAACCTCTTGCTTTTGCATCACTCTGTGTCTCAGTGTCTCATCAGGGCATCTTGAAGTAAGTACCATTGACCAAGGGTTGAGAGTCTTACAATCAAGCCAGACTTGGCACCTTGTCTCTTCCATTCCTGCCAAATTCCCTCTCTTAGCAATAGACATTGAAGAATGCTTTTCCTCTATCCCTCCCCATTTGTGGGATTGCCAATGTTTTGGATTCTCAATACCCCCCCCCATTAACAGCTCTGGTGTGCCTTATGATAGGAGTGGGGAGTCCTCATATAAGCTGTTGCACAGTTCCACCATCTTCCAGGAGAATACTGCCACAGCATTAAGGCACTTCTTAGACAAAGGTCTACACAGTTATAATTATATGGATGAAATCTTGGTGTGGAGAGACTCTTCCTCCATCTTCACCTCCCAATTTGATCCTTATCAATTAATACCTATCCTATCTTCCTCATAACTTAAAATATCTCTTCACAAAATACAGCTTATTCTGCCCATCACATTCTCAGAAATAAAATCTCCCTAACCTCAATATGCCCTCTTAAATCCACCCTTTCTTTCCTTCAACCCTTAACTCTTACCTTACTCCAAAGCTTTTTGGCAAACCTTAATTGATTTGTACCATGGCTCTCTCTCCCCACCAGTACTCTACACACACATGAGTACATGGGGTCCAATGCTATTCAAACTACCACATTTCACTCCTCGGGCCCATAGGCTAGTATCTATAAGATAAAGCAAAATGAATTTAGTCCAACTTCAAAAGTCCCCATCATCTATCACAGTCTCAACAATGTTTGAAAGTTCAAAGTCTCTTCTAAGATTCATTTAATCTCCTAACTATAATCACCTATAAAATATAAATAAAAAGCAGATCACGTACTTCCAATATATCATGACACAGGATATACAATATTGTTGTAAAACATAGGAATGGTAGCACAATGATTAAATTCTGGACAAAATCAAGACTAAAATCAAGCTGGGTGAACTTCAAACTAAGCATCTCCATGTCTGACATCTAACTCCTTTATAAGTTCGAAATTGTAGTTCATTTCTGATACAGTCAAGTTGACAACAGAGACTAGCCTTCATAATCCATCCCTATGTCAACACAAAATCATACCTCCTTATGGTCAAATTAAAACAATAAACAGCCTATAATAATGCCTAACATGATATAACTATGCTATGTTCAACTTCAAGTGCATAAATAAACTTAGCTGGGTAGGCTCTTGGTCCAAGATCACCACCCCGTTAATTCCATTTAATATCCTTAAATAAGGGATTTAGCTCTATTTTACTTCCTGGTGCCCCTTTAATCCTTGAATCATATATTTTGTATTTTTTTCCATTCTCGAAGCTTGCTATGTTTTCTCAAAACATTCTTCATAAGAATAGACCACAGGACAAAGACTTTTCATTCCTCGATTCAATTAATCTAAATCTCTTCACTTTAGCCTCGGGAAGCCTCTTCAAACAAGGATAAATGCAACCATATTCTTCAGCAAAATATCACAAGAACTATCTCTAGGCAACAGACTAAAATTCTCCTCTGAAACCACCTGACCCAAGCCCTAACAGTTCAAATCACCCCCAGAATCACTCTCTTCTATACTTCTACTACTATGACTCATTAAGCCTCACTTAAAATGTTCCACTGCTTTCCAACATCCCAAATCCACATTCCTCCAAACAAAAGCAGGCTTATAGTTCCAGAATTTAATTCCATTATCATCATGACAGGAAACATGGCAGCCTGCAAACAGATAAGTTACTTGAAAAGAAAACAAGAGACTATGTGTGTCACACTGGTGTAGCTTTAGCATTTTAAGACAACAAAACCCTACCTTTACAATGACAAACCTATTCAAATCACCAAAAATCACCACTGCTTTGCTATTAGCCTAATAATATTCCTGAGATAAAGTGATAATGATTACCCTAAAGAAAGATGGGTTTCTCTTCTACCTCGATTACAGTGGCAATACCAGTGGCTTTTTGCAAAGAACTCATTACTGAGGTCTCCCTCAGTACTTACTGGTGGAGAAAATAGGGGAGCTGCAGCAATAACATACTACTCTCCCAAGGATGAAGCCCCCATTATTCAACTCAGAGTCTTGCCCCATCACTAACACCAATATGAGGAACTATATGCTATTTCTTTAGCCCTCAAAGAAGTCAATAGACCCTTTAATCTTTTTTCAGACAATATATGCTGTTAGTTTGCTTCCCTGATTATCAAGATCCTTTGTAAAACTACACACTAATCCACTATCCCCTCTGCTCTTCCATGAGTACACCCTCTTACTCGGAATAGCCACTTCCATTTACATCCAAGCATGACCAGGATATCAAAGTCACCAAGGAGATCAGAGTCACTCTTTCTAGGTTACAATTCATGTAGTATATGAGTAGCCTCCTTCTCCTAACAACTCATACCAATTCTGCCCAGTGCTTTTCCTGGGCCTCCTTTTTCCAGCTATTGTTAGCAGCTGTTCCAATTAATATTTCCATTCATGAACTCCATGGACCCTTACTTACGCAAAAGTTGCAAAACATTCCACCTTTTAATCTATCCTTCCCTCTATGCCTCCTAGTGCCCTATTTTAAGTCTTACCCTGCATATTCTGGTAACATCATTGTTACCACCCAATATATGTTTACCTCATCCCCCTCGATGCTCTTCTCTGGTGCGATAACACCCTCAGTCCCTGCATTAACTCATCTGCCCATGCTTTTGCACTCCAGTAATGATTACCCTACAGATCTACCTATACAAGCTTGAGTAAATTGCCTGGCAGCTACGAAGGGTCCAGAGAAAGGGGCAGATCTTCATGTCCCTGCTTGTTGTCCTGGCTATCTCAGCAGGAGCAATGGGACATCTGGGATAACCCTGGCACAGACACAACACCTGGCTGATGACTTCACAACATGATTGACCAGGCCATGGCCTCTACGTCCTTCCATCATGAGATAACCTCCCTTGTTGGATTGTCATACAAGATAGAACTCTCAATGTGCTGACACTGAGCAGGGAGGAACTTGTATTTTACTGAAGGAGGAATGCTGTTTCTATGTTAATGAATCAAAGCTACTAAAACAAAGTTTCCAGGTACTTAAAGATTTTCAGTGAAATCTCCAAGCTACTATGCCCCACAGCATGACACTCAAACCCTCTGGTATCTTGGATTCTTCACTTACCTGGCTCCATAGAGTCCACTGGGACCTTCTTCCCCTTGGTTCTCTGTTTCACACAATTTCTAAAACAGCAAATAAGCAACATTTCCAAAGTCACTACCAACCCGGTTTTGGTTCAGTACCAAACTATTCCCAACTTAGAGGCTAAGAAAACAAAAAGAGATAAATTTGGGGCCAGGGAGATTTGGGACTGAAAGAAACAGACCCAGACCAAGAGTGGGACTGAGGTGTTTCCAAACCTCAGAAATCTCATCTTGAGATCAACAGGACTAGGATAACTCTCCCCTCTCCCTCCAGCCTACATGTCCTGGTGTATGTAGACTTGCTCCACCACCTTCTATCACAAAGAAGGTCATGTAGCCCAATAGGGAGGTTAAATTTCTCTATTCTCATAAGGTCATATCCAACAGCTGGTGGAATTCCTCCTTGTGAAAATGAGGCATACCCAGTGCCCTAGCCCAAGCAAGTGATGTGTCCTCACCCAAAAACCCCTACCAATTCCCCCAAAGATTGGGTAGGCTTTATTTTCCCCATTAAATGAGCAGTCTCTCTGAAGCTGTCTCCTGCAAGCCTGTTCTTGCAGTGCTCACAGCTGCCTAAGGTATCTTTCCTTCTTAGCTGTTCTACTCCTGCTTCTACTCCTCTTCTGCTCTCAGGGTTCACCAGACTGATATCAAGCTGATCGTGCTTCGATAGGCCTGGAGGCAAAGACTGAACAGTACAATAGATGTGCTAATGTTCACATCCACCAACAATGAAGAAGAGTAGCCCTTCCCCTGCATCCTGACCAGCATGGGTTATCACTTCTTTTATTGATCTTATTGATTCTGACTGGTGTAAGACAAAAATCTCTAAAATGTTGTAATTTTATTTCCCTGGTGATTGAGGATGTTGAACACTTTCTAACGTTTCTCAGCCATTTGTGTTTCATTTTCTGAGAACACTAGTTTTAGTTCTATAATCCATTTTTAATGGAATTATTTGTTTTCTTCATGTTCATTTTGCTGGGAAGGCAGAGAAAAGAGGATCCTTGGGCATTGTTAACTTGAAAAACTGTCATATTTGTAAAGCATAAGGCTTTTATGAGAACATGTCTGAAAAAGAGTAGAATTTATTGTGCAATTCAATGCAGGACGATTATTCCTGGCCATCATGAGAGTACTACCATCAAAGACTGGTATTTAAATGATCCCTTTAGTAGTACTGACAAAGAAATTACCATTCAGAGTATGATTAGAAATTACAATGGGTTATGAAAAAGATCTTGGGAATTGTATATGTTTATGGAACCTGTCATGATTTACCTTCCATAGCTCACTACATAAGACCAACTAAATAGTTTTAAGTATCCTCTAAGAATAATAAGGTTACTATTATATCATTGGGCATATTTTATCCATGCTGACACTTTTGTCAATGGTGTACTTTAAAATTTCCATGACATTTTAACACTTATGAGATTAGATAACAACTTTTGATAGTAATAGAAGTAGCCATATTCATTTACCACTACAAATGAAATCACTTATAAATTATTGAAAACTAAGAGTTCAGCACTGTACTGGAATATATATTACATATATATTGGAAACACTATGGATAGAGTTGGCTATAAATTTCTCTATCATCCTCCTTTCTCTCACTACACATAGTCATGAACATTCAAATAAATATTTATGTCCATAAATTAGAAAGGAAGTTTGAGGATACCTGAGTAATAGAAATTAGATGGTAGATGAGGGTTAAAATTTTATGAATGTTTGTTAGATATGTACAATTTTCAAAAAACATACAATTACTATTTCAGAAGCACCAATGTTTTACAAGGCACATAGAGAAAGGTTAAATAACAGTTTTGTTTGAACAAAAAACTATCAATTTTTAATTCATATTTGTTGCTTATAAATATTGGATATTACTTAGATTCTGCTTCATGCTTAGATTTTAGGATATTGAATATAATACTACTGTCCATCTCCTACTCTTTTTACCTGCTCTAAACTAAAGGAGATTTTATCTTTCCTTTTTATTTTGATAGCTAACAACATTTTGGGGTAGGTGCAATAGTGTGATGGAAACTGGATCAGGCAGGGGTGGGGATGGGAAGGGAGAGAGTACTAGAAGAGTCAACTGGAATTAGGGGGAGTTAGGGAGTTGTTTTGGAAATGTAGTACATTGGAAACTACCTGGAATCTACCAGGATGACACTAGTGCTGATTCCAGTAATTGGTGATAAGGAACCAGAACTGGCCATTGTCTGTACCCAGGCAAGTCTTCCAGTGGTGTGACTGAGACAACAACCAAACAACAAAACCACTACGTATACAATTTATCCTGCTCATACGATGTGTTTGGGAAATGGTGGAACAGAACTTGTAGTAGTGGTTAACCAATGATATGGTCCATCTGCAAGCCAATGCCACAAGAGGGAGCCTATGCCTGGATGGCCAGAAGAAACCAGAGGCTGGACAGCCCAGAGTCCTAGGATAGAACCAAACATGACTGGCAAAAAAGTCAATGAAATGATTTCTAATGCTATTCTGATATGCTCATAGATTGGTGCTTAGCCCAATCATCATCAAAAAGGCTTTGTCTATCAACTGATGGGAACAGATGGAGAGACACACAGCCAAACATCAGAGACCCCAGCAGAAGAAGGAAATTAAGTGTTGAAGGAGCCAGAAGGTGAGAACAGCAGAAGAATATGGCCCAAAAAATCAACTATACAAGGCACATAGGGAAGCACAGAGATTGAAGTAATAATTACAGTGAATGTATGAGTCTGTGCATATGTGTGTGGGTCCTTTGTATATATGATATGATTGTATAGCTTGGTGCTCTTGTGAAACTCCTAGCATCAGGAGTACAAATAGGCTCTGAATATTTTGTCTACTTTTGGGACTCTTTTCCTCCACCTTTGATATGAAGATTTATGCCTAAACTAATTATAACTTTCTATTCTGTGTTCAGTTGATATTCCTTGGAGGAAAGCTTTTTTTCCTGAAGGGTAAAAGAAGGGTGGACATGTGGGGAGCAGAAATGGGACAGAGACCTTAGAGAAATGGATGGAGGGTAAATAGTGCTCTCTATATAATGTATGATAAAAAAATAAATTTTATTGTCTAGTTGATCTGGCTAGGGCTTCCAGTACTGTATTGAATAGGTAGGGAGAGAGTGGGCAGCTTTGTCTAGACCCTGATTTTAGTAAGGATTGCTTCAAGCTTCTCTCCATTTAGATTGACATTGGCTACTGATCTGTTGTATATTGCTTTGACTATGTTTAGATATGGGCCTTGAATTCCTGAACTTTGCAAGTTCCTGAACTTTTATCATGAAAGGGTGTTGAATTTTATCAAATGTTTTCTCAGCATTTAATGAAACAATTATGATTTTTCTTTCAGTTTTTTAATATAATGGATTATATTGATGGATTTCCATATATTGAACCATCCCTGCATCCCTGGGATAAAGCCTACTTAATCATGATGGATGATCATTTTGATGTGTTCTTAGATTCGATTTGTGAGAATTTTATTGAGTATTTTTGAATCAATATTCATAAGTGAAATTGGTCAGGAGATCTCAAGCTGCATTACAGAGCAATACTGATTTAAAATAAAAGCAACTACATGGTATTGGTACAGAGACAGGCAAGTAGATCAATAGAACAGAATTGAAGACCCAGAAATGAACCCACACACCTATAGTCACATGATCTTTGGCAAAGTAGCTAAAACCATCCAGTGGAAAATAGACAGCATTTTCAACAAATGGTGCTGGATCAACTGGCGGTCAGCATGTAGAAGAATGCAAATCGATCCATTCTTATCTCCTTGTGCAAAGCTCAAGTCCAAGGGGAAAAAGGACCTCCATATAAAACCAGATAAACTGAAACTAATAGAGGAAAAAGTGGGGAAAAGCCTTGAACACATGGGCACAGGGGGAAATTTCCCCAACAGAACACCAATGGCTTATGCTCTAAGAACAAGAATTGGGAAATGGCACCATATAAAACTGCAAAGCTTCTGTAAAACAAAGGACACTGTCAATAGGATAAAACAACAACCAACATATTGGGAAAAGATCCTTATCAATCCTATATCTTATAGAGGGCTAATATCCAATATATACAAATAACTCAAAAAGGTAGACTCTAGAGAACAAAATAACCCTATTAAAAAATGGAGTCTAGAGCTAAACAAAGAATTCTCAACTGAGGAATATCAAATGGCTGAGAAGCATCTAAAGAAATGTTCATCATCATTAGTCACCAGGGAAATGCAATTCAAAACAACCCTGAGATTCTACCTCACACCAATTAGAATGGCTAAGATCAAAAATTCAGGTGATAGCAGAAGCTAGCAAGGATATAGAGAAAGAGGAACACTCCTCTATTGTTGGTGGGACTGTATTCTAGTACAACCACTCTGAAAATCAGTCTGGCGATTCCTCAGAAAATTGGAAATAGTACTACCTGTGGGCCCAATTATACCACTCCTAGGCATATACTCAAAAGATGCTCCAACATATAACAAAGATACATGCTCTACTATGTTCATAGCTGCCTTATTTATAATAACCTGAAGCTAGAAAGAACCCAGATGCCCTTCAACAAAGGAATGGATAAAAAAATGGGGTATATTTACACAATGGAATACTACTTAGATATTAAAAAAAATAATGACCTCATGAAATTCTTAGGCAAATGAATGGAACTAGTAAATATCATCCTGACTGACGTAACTCAGTCACAAAAGAATACACCTGGTATGCACTCACTGATAAGTGGATATTAGCCTAAAAGCTCACAATACCCAAGATACAATTCATAGACCTCGTGAAGCTCAAGAAGAAGAAAGATTAAGGTGTGGATACTTCAGACTTTCTTAGTAAGGGGAACAAAATATTCATGGGAGGAAATATGGAGACAAAGTGTGGAGCAGAGACTGAAGGAAAGGCTGCCTAGAGACTGCCCCACTTGTGGCTCCATCCCATATATGATCACCAAACCCAGATACTATTGCAGTTGCCAAGAAGTGCTTGCTGACAGGAGCCTGATATAGCTGTCTCCTGAGAGGCTCTTTCAGAGCCTGGAAAATACAGAGGCAGATGCTCACAGTCAACCATTGGACTGATCATGGGGTCTCCAATAGAGGATTTAGAGAAAGGACTGAAGGAGCTGAAGGGGTTTGCAACCCCATAGGAAGAACAACAATATCAATCAACCAGAACTCCCAGATCTCCCAGGGACTAAACCACAAACCAAAGAGTATATATACATGGAGGGCCTCATGGCTCCAGAAGCATGTGTAGCAGAGGATGGCCTTATCTGGCATCAATGAGGGGGGGGGGGTCCTTGGTCCTTGGAAGGCTTCATGTCCCAGTGTAGCAGAATGCCAGGGTGGGTAGGTGGGGGATAACATTTGAAATGTAGGTAAAGAAAACGTACAATAAAAAAGTAATTTTTTAAAAAAGTTATGGCAATGGGGAAAAGGGGCATCTGGGATTTACTCAATTGAAACTACATTTTATGGCTACTCTTGGTTGTCAACATGACTATAATCTAGAATGAACTATAGTCCAGAATTGGAAGGTTCATGTGTGATCCAGATCTTGAGGCGGAGAGACACAAGTTTCTGACCTGAATCTTGGCATGGAGATATTGAGGTATAGTGGCTATGAATCTCAGTAGACTAAGGCAAAGAGACCTCTGAGTTCAAGGTCAGCCTGGGACAAAACAAGTCTCAGATGCAGGCGTGGTGATGCACACCTTTAATCTGGGACAGACTTTCTCCTGGAGACCTACATAAGACATTGGAAGAAGGAAGATTTGCTCTTCTTGGCCTGCTTGCATTTACTTACCAGTATATCTGTTGGAATCTACTAGCCTTGAGAGTTTGAACAACTAATAGATCCTTAGACTTCCATTCACAACTGACCATTGTTGGGGAGCTGGACTACAGTCTGTAAGTCATCATAACAAATTCCTTTACTATATAAAGACTATCCATAAGTTCTGTGACTCTAGAGAATCCTGACTAATACACTACATATGGAAACATTTTAAACAATCCTAAAACATGTACAGAATTCTAAATATAGTCATCACCAAAGAGAAAAATAACATAATTAATATTGAGAAAAATTCAAATGGATTATAGTAAAGTAACTTATTGTCCTGAATGTAAAAATGTTTAAAGTCCAAGGCTCCAGTTTTCCCCCAAAGTTACATGAGTGATTTTATATTATAACTGGGTACAGGCTGCTACATTTAACCCTCATTCTCATTCTTCATCTTCGCATTCTCTTCAGTTAGTCCAGGAGATGAGAGATGTATAATGACATTTTACTAAGTTGCAAAGTCACAGGTTAGTTTGAAGAAGGGAAATGAAATAGAACATGTTGGTGAGAAGAAAATATCATGGATTTGAGGAATGAGAAGATTAGACACATGAACAAGTAGCAGGTAGTTATAGAAGAAAACATAACAGCCAATAAAAATTTCACTCCTCAGAAGAATGGCTTGGTTCATACCTGGCACTTAAGTTATATGCTGAGTGCATGTAATGGCTTTGTACTACGTACACTACATTACCAATCCTGACAAAAAGATTCCCATTGTGAAAACTTAAATAATTCCCCTAACTCTAGTCCAGGGCTCTGTTATATTAGAAAGAAATTCCCAACTTAAATGTCAGACATTAACTGTATTCTTTACATACCAGGGGCTGATTTAATATATTTTCCTGTTTTCAATTATCATCAAATTGTATCGTTTTCATTCCTTTTTTGCTCCATGTATGTATGTGTGTTGCAGCTTCTACTCTGAAACACACACAAATACATATGTACATACATACATACATACATACATACATACATACATGCACACAGTAATTGAGTAGTACCACCTTCTTGTTTGTGTATATATGGTTTTATATGGCTTCATGGCTGACCATTCTTAATCACAGTGCTGCTCTTTCCTGGATGTGATGATATATGTGTGTGTGTGTGTGTGTGTGTGTGTGTGTGTGTGTGTGTGTATGTGTGTGCTATGAATAATTTTAGATAAATATAAAATATAAATACAAAATAATAAACTAGGTAAGTATAAAATACGCAGTATGATCCCATGATGCTTGATAAAATGACTTTGTTGTTATATCACTCTTGCCTCCTCACCTATTAAATTAAATGATGTCTCATTCATCCTCATTTGGAACCTTAGCCATATATATAATATATATATATGTGTGTGTGTGTGTGTGTGTGTGTGTGTGTGTGTGTATGAATGTATGTATGTGTATGTTTATTTGTGTATATATCTATATCTATATCATCTATATCTATATCTATATATCTATATCTATATCTGATTTTGTTTTCATTTTTATAACATATTTATCCTGCACTAACCTCCCTATCCTTAGCATCACCGTAAATATGGTCACTGTAACCTTTCATGGTATCTTTGCTCACATCTTTTTTCTTCATCTAAAGTTCCTAGGTATAAATCCACAAATATGAATATACTTCCTTCTGTCTCTATGCTTCACAAAACAATGACAGCAGTTCACCAAGTGTTCCTAAGTTGTCAAATTAAACAAAGTCTGTACTGTGTTTCTACATCTGTTTATATTTTATTTCGATTTATACTAACCTTAACAGAAATGAGTATTAGGGGCTTATTTTGGTCCTGATTGCGGCAATAAACTAACAAGGCACCTATAAATTTCAAGTTCACTGAGTAAATATACCCAGAGTGTTGACATCAAAGATTCTTATCTAAGGACACATTGCATCCTCAGAGCCTGCTTTGATACCGATAGCTAAACTTAGACTAAACCTGACTAGATGAAGAAAGTCTTAGGCAGCACCTCCCATGGGAAACATGACTTTATATACATGAAGAAGCAAAGATATTCTCCCTATTTTGCATGTTTTCTTTCTATTAAGTTTTTACTTTCCCATAGTTCACTCACTGAATTTTTCCATATCATCTTCGATTTCTGCTTGTCTCTGTATTTTTATTTTGATAGACCAATTACTGGCAGAATCTATTCCCAAGGGAAAAGAATGTATAAAAGCAGGTGGAAGGGAAATGCTTAATTAAAACTATGCATGAAAACGTCATATGCAATCCTGAAAATATTTAATCAAAATAAAAATGAATAAACTGCTCAAGTAGAAAAATAATATAAAGAAAAATGGAATAATAAAAATAAATCATCCAGAAATAACATATTGTCCTGAAGGTAAAATGATATAAGTCTAGCGCCTTAGACATCATTTAGAAGAGTGTTTCAACTCAAATATGAATTACCATATTATGGTATTTTTACATATCAGGTCCTACTGTATTTTCTAAAGATTAATAATTTCTTTTAATAAATTAATAAAGTATGTGTACAAGTTACAAATATATATAGAAATTAATTGTTCTTCCTTTTTTGTTACTCAGTTTTTAATAAGTCCCAGTAGAACTGAATGACGTAGTTCTGTCTTATATGGGCTAAAAATGGTAAAGGAGAAAGAGCAAAGGAGACTACTGCATGAATGATAAAAGCTCCTGATATCATTAAGATTTCATCCTAGTGGTGACCCAGATCAAGGTATATTTTATTGTAATTTAATTTGAATTTTAATCAAAATATAATTACCTTATCAACCCTCTTCCCCCTCTTTCCTCCAGTATCTCTTGTGTTGTCCTCATATTGCTCTTTCTCAAATTGACTCAGGAGATCTGTTATGAGATTTTCTCCTACAATGGTCAGGAAAGCATCACCCATGAGTTTTTCAATATTACAATTTCCTAAACAGTATCAGAGCAGAAACAATACAAACAGAGATGCTACTTTGGAAAGAAAAAAAATCTCATGGAACTCCATGCATACGGAATGAACTATAGGCAATTAAGAATGCAGAGAAGTGTAGAATTTATTTTCTTCTTCAGAGATGAGACTCTTAAGTGGTTATTCATTACCACGTGTTCAACCCTGAAATCATATATAGATAAAAGCAAACTGAGTAATGTGTGTGGATCCATGTGCCTGTGAATGTGTATATGCATCTATGTATGCATGTGTAATAAGAAGAATTAAGGCATATCAGATGCTACTTTAAAGAACTTTATATACTAATTGAAATAGAACTTCATCACTTCCTTTACCCAGCCCATGTAAGCTAGGTTTCCTTCAATTCCTCTTACATACACACCCACTATCAACTTCATAGCCTCTATTTTGGTCATTATTCTTACATACATAATCTAATTATCTATGTAGGATCTTTCTTATGTGTATGTATAAATACACACATATAACCTGAATTCATTTTACTTATTGGTATGTGCATCGATTCAAGGTTGATCTTTCTGTATTGGAAAACTAATAATGATGCTATTCCTAGGAAAAGCTAGTTTATATCTAGAGGTAGGAAGCAGCATCAAGTATTTTTCAATCTATGTGTCTTGAATGCAGATAGAAAATAGTTCTTAGTGGTTGATAAATTGTTAGCTATCCACGGTGTGAGGATATCATCATAGACATTAATATAAAACCTAGTAATATCCTTTTCCTAAACCAATAAAAAATTTCATTGTATTCTAAATGGTAATTTCTTAACTAACACTTTCAGGACAAGTTTAATTAGCATGATAATTTGGCAGTATTTTCACATTGGCCTGTATATTTAAACTGTTTCAATAAGAAAATTAGTGAATATAATTGTGTCAGGAAAAAATGAAATGTGAAGTTTTAATTTATCAAGACAGTGAATAATTAGACAAGGAATATTAACTGCCCCTATTGTCTGTTTTCTTTCCTGTAGCTTACACACATTTTTAATAATCATTAATTTTGTGTTTACCTCACATGCATCTCAAGGGCCTATCCTCCTTTGTCAAACATGAGAAACCATCCAGCTGGTTTATAACATAGTACATTTTACTGAAGCTTCTCAAATATATTCATTTAGCGTTTTAACAAGACTGGAACATCCTCCAATTTCCATTACCCCACCAAAGGATTGACAGGTATATATCTGACATCAATTATATTATATAGGAGATGGCATTGAAGCCAGGTCAACATGATTAACATGAAAACACATTATTGGATGAAGTATAATCTCTCATGAAACTAAAATGATAAAAATGTTGAAACATGATCTGTTGTGCTCAGTTCATGAGACCCCACAAAAGACCACCAGGATCCATAACTCCAATGCAAGTACATGCAAGAGTTTTTTCTTCCTTCCTTCTTTTCTTCCTTTCTTTCTATCTTTCTTTCTTTCTTTTTTCTTTCTTTCTCTTTTTTAAGGTAAAATTGCTTTTATTGGAAATTTTATTTATTTACATTTTAGATACCATCCCCTTTTCCCATTTCCCCTCCCTAGAACCCCCTATCCCATCCCCCCTCCTCTACTATTTTAATTGCATGCAAGTATTGAGGTCAGTTCTAGTTTGAGAAACTAACAGTACCATAGATGCAAATAGAAATGGAACAAGCAAGAAAATAAACACAAATAGTCAAAGAACAGGAAAGGCAATAAACAAAATTCCATGAACACTCCTGTGATCACTGTTTCTAAGGGCTTATCAGGTTGACCAAAATATCTGGGCTATTATTAAGCATTTTTACATCGGTATTCATAAGACAAAGTTTTTGTGATACTCAGGGCAATAAAACAAAAGGTGGTTCATAGACATTCATAACTGAAATGCCAGATTTCAACACACTAACACAATTAGAAAATGTGCAATCAATGCATCTTACATTAAATACTGTAGAAGAAACAAAAGTATTTTTAACTTGACAATTAAAAGAGCCTCAACACAAGTACTAATGAAGACTGTTATTTTCAGAGTTGGATTGATTTCTAGACCAGTCCATGATTGAGTCAGAATAAATTGTAACATTGAATAACAATACAAGAGTCATTATAACTTCTCTCATTGATTCTCTGTTCAACAGGGTCTAAAACTTGAGGCAAGGCAGCTTGTCCCATCAGGGGTATAGGTAAGCAGTGATGGGTCAGGAACATACGTCCAATAAAGCTTCCCAGTCACCAGTGTCAGGGAAATCAGCAAGCTCACAGATCAGCATCATTCTTTGTCCTGGCATCAACGTGTCTCATAACTTGCTCTGGCAGTCACCATGCTCCTTCAGCATCCTGCAGAAAAACACAAACATGCCCTCTTCCCCATATTAAATCCCTGATTCAGATCATGACTTATGCTAGTAGGTGAATCCTTTCCTTTCACCTATGCTTAAGTATGCCTAGTTGTAGAGTGCCATAGACACTCAGCACAAAGTTCCTTGTCATTCAACTTTTAAAAAAAATTAAAATAAAAGAATATGATTTATAAATTTTTGGTGTATGGGGATATATATAACCCTTTTGTATTTTATGAAGATATTGGTTTAAAGTTCCAAGGGCCCATCCAAAATTTTCTTGTTCTTGACAATTATAAGGAATCCCAGTAATATGGGTAATGTTCAATTGCTGACAAAAAATCTCAAATGCTCAACTCTGATAGCCAGTTCCATTAACTGTTTTTGTTTGTTTGTCTATTTTTCTTTTTTTTTATTATTGTAAACTTTATCTACATTTCAGATGTTATCCCCTTTCCTCATTGTGCCCACCAGAAACCCCTTATCCCATTCTCCTTCCTCCTATTTCTATGAGGGTGTGCCCCACCCATTCACTCACTCCCACCTACCCTCCCTTGAATTCCCCCTCATTGGGGCATTCAGCCTTCAAGAGACCAAGGCACTCCTCTCCCACTGATGCCCAACAAGGCCATCCTCCACTACATACACAGCAGGAGCCATGGGTTACTCCATGTGTGTTCCCAGGCTAGCTGTTTAGACCCTGGGAGCTCTGGTTGGTCGGTATTGTTGCTCTCCCCATGGACCTCAAGCCCCTTCAACTCCTTCAGTCTTCTCTCTAACTCCTCCATTGGGGACCTTGTCATCAGTTCAATGGTTAGCTGTGAGCATCTGCCTCTGTATATGTCAGGCTCTGGCAGAGCCTCTCAGGAGACAGCTATATCAAGCTCTGGGCAGTATGCACTTTTTGGCATCCACAGTAGTGTCTGGATTTGGTGACTGTGTAAAGGATGGATTCCCAGGTGGCACAGTCTCTAAACAGTCCTTCCTCCAGTCTCTGCTCCATACATTGTCTCCTATTTGCTCCTGTGAGTCTTTTGTTACTCCTTCTAAGAAGGACCAAAGCACCCACACTTTGGACTTTCTTCTACTTGGGCTTCATGTGGTCTGTGAGTTATGTCTTGGGAATTCTGAGATTTAGGGCTAATATCCACTTATGAATGAGTACATACCATGTATGTTCTGTTGTGATTGGGTTACCTTACTCAGGATGATATTTTCTAGGTCCATCCATTTACCTAAGAATCTCATGAATTCATTATTTTAATAGCTGAGTAGCACTCCACTGTGTAAATGTACCATATTTTCTGCATCCATTCTTCTGTTGAAGGACATCTAGATTCTTTCTAGCTTTTGGCTATTATAAATAAATCTTCTATGAACATAGTGGAGCATGTGTCCTTGTTATATGTTGGAGCATCTTTTAGGTATACGCCCATGAGTGGTATTGCTGGATCCTCAGGTAACTATGTCCAATTTTCTGAGGAACTGCCAGACTGATTTCCAGAGTAGGTGTACCAGCTTACAATCCTACCAACAGTGGAGAAGTGTTCCTCTTTCTCCATATCCTCGTCAACATATGCTGTCATCAGAGTTTTTAATCTTAGCCATTCTGACTGGTGTGAGGTAGAATCTCAGGGTTGTTTTGATTTGCATTTCCCTGATGACTAAAGATGTTGAACATTTCTTTAGGTGATTTTTGGCCATTCGGTATTCCTCAGTTGAAAACTCTTTGTTTAGCTCTGAATCTCATTTTAATAGGGTTATTTGATTGTCTGGAATCTAATTTATTGAGTTCTTTTTATATTTTGGATGTTAGGCCTCTATCAGATGGAGGATTGGTAAAGATATTTTCCCAATCTGTTGGTTGCCGTTTTGTCCTATTGACAGTATCCTTTGCCTTACAGAAGCTTTGCAATTTTATGAGGTCCCATTTGTCAGTTCTTGATCTTAGAGCATAAGCCATTGGTGTCCTGTTTAGCAACTTTTCCCTATGCCTGTGTGTTCGAGGCTCTTCTCCACTTTTTCTTCTATTAGATTCAATGTGTCGGTTTTATGTGGAGTTCCTTGATCCACTTGGACTTGAGCTTTGTACAAGGAGATAAGAATGGATTGATTTACATTTTTCTACATGTTGACCTCCAGTTCAACCAGCACCATCTGTTGAAAAATGCTGTCTTTCTCCACCGAATGGTTTTAACACCTTTGTCAAAGAATAATTGGTCATAGGTGTGTGGGATCATTTCCGAGTCTTCAATTCTATTCCATTGATCTTCTTGCCTCTCTCTGTACCAATGCCACGCAGTTTTTATCACTATTGCTCTGTAGTATAGCTTGAGGTCAGGGATGGTGATTCCTCCAGAAGTTCTTTAACTGTTGAGAATAGTTTTTGATATCCTGGGTTTTTTGTTATTCCAAATGAATTTGACAATTGTTTTTTCTAACTCTGAGCAATTGAGTTGGAATTTTGATGGGGGTTGCATTGAATCTGTAGATTGCTCTTGGCAAGAGGGCCATATTTACTATATTAATCATACCAATCCATGAGCATGAAAGATCTTTCCATCTTCTGAAATCTTCTTCGATTTCTTTCTTTAGACTTGAAGTTGTTGTCATATAGATCTGTCACTTGCTTGGTTAG